TTAGGAATACATGCGGGTATCTACGAAACAAGAAGATTAAACCGATCTTATTGTTATAGCAATTTATCTATGCGAGTACGTTTATTTTCTATTTTATAGATACCTCAAGAATCAATCTGTAGACTTTTAGTTAGATTTCCGATTATAAAGACTACCACATACTATTTAATTCGTTCTTTACGAAGACATTTTCAACGACCTCTTCCCAGATGTTATTTTTCAATACAAGCATGTTTTATGAGAAATTTTTACCTCAGGTTACAATTAGTTGCTGAAGAACGACATAGTTTTTATACGCCAAGACAATTATGGAATCATTATTTATATTTGTATATCTTACCTAATTCCATGTTACCGTTTGTTGAAATACTACCTGCTAGTAATCGCATACCCATGGAATTACTGCAAAATTACTTTTATGGTCAACTTTTTTATATTCGTTTATATGGGGTTTCTCTTTCGTAGATACATCAAAACTATGTGGATACAGATGCCCTCTATTTGTTTTTTAGCAATTTAAAATTTGAATTATCAGTCATGGAAAAATTTAATTTAGCTGTTTATTTTCAAGATGTTGATTTTTTAAATTGTGTTCTTTCACTGTATAACATAAACCAATTCATACATTGTTTTTATGATATCCAAGAAAGAGAGCTCCAAAGGTACGAGTGGTTGGCTACGACGTGGTCAAGTAATGACTATGAAATTAAATTTTTTACATTTTTAGAATGAGTTCCCTTTGGATGATTTCCCTCTGGAGGATCTCGACGAGTTTTTTTTCACACTATGGTGTCTTTTAGATATGGAAGATGATGAAATTATTGTACTTTTTAACCAATTTCACTTTTTTATGGTTGTGAATCAGATTTGTAATGTCACACCAGTCATAAGTTGGGGTTTTGTAGATTATGAGGAAGATGTAGCAGCACCCCTTATAGAAGATTATCTTTGGTTAACTACTAATTACAATTCAAACAATTATAATATTACACATTTTTATTCAACACCCGTAGCGTACTTTTTGTAATTAATAAACTTTTACATGGTTTTACATTTTGTCTCTCTATCTGTAATCTATTTCGTGGTAGGCAGAATGGAAACCATCTGCGACTTCTTTATCCCAGTTGGTATAGTAGATACATCTCTGGTTTCCATAGGGGTGGTAAATGTATCGTAAGGCATCGCGAAATATAATGTCATGATGTCTTTCCCTTAGTTTTAATTCCTGTATTTCCAGATCTTTTTCCTTACAAGAATGAACATGTTTCGATGCTTGCTGACGAATCTTGCGTTTTAGATTGGAAATTTTCTTTTGAGCCTTGGATCCTCCCATCCCGGAATTGGATGTAACAACACAGTTGCGCGGCCTTTTTTCTTGCTCTGGTCAATATCGAAGTTGAACTCGAGATGGGGAGCAGAGATAACTACGATAGATAATTTCTCTAGGACTCTCGAGAGCTCTGTCACAATCCATGATAATGGAGACTGGCTGAATCTCTAAGAATACCTCGGTTTTTCTGGCGTAAGCGATACCATTTTAAAGAGTGCTTAAATTCTGTCATAGCCTCGATGTCAGTAACCAACCAAGTAATACATTGGATGTAAGATGATCCACCCACGTGAAACGCGTTGTAAGCAGACACATGTTTTGCATGTACACGTAAAATCGTAGGGATAATGAAAAACAGACATGTTTATGACTCCTTCTACTTACAACGACGTCACTTTAAATAATAAATCTTAACCCCTAGAGATTCGGACAGCCTTAAGCAATACTAGACAACACTTGAGCAAGTCCTAGACAAGTTTAGACAACATCTCTCTTGGGATTTAGCTTGGGTGGGCAAGTCTGGGCAGATGAGGTCACACGTAACATTTTGTGACGTCTTACACCACATAAGTACCAGCCATAGGACATTTCGTGACATTCATACCACATAGGGACTGGCTCTAAAGCATTGCGCATGCGTACATTTTTAATCAGAAGAGTGCACATGCGCATCACACAAATAGGTATCCCACATGGATGAATTTACGCTACCGTTCCATATATATATCAAACCGACCTTCATTTACAATAACAAAGATGGCCGATCTGGACACTCGTTCATTAATTGATCAATTTTTACCCTCGTGTACCTACACGTCATGAATATAATTATTTAATAACGCTAACACGTGTACCTACATGGCATGAATAAATTATTACTCAAACTCGGACCCAGGCCGCGCGGGAATTGCTAGTCAGACGCGCTATACTACTCTTGGTCTAATGTGATCGCCTCAAACAATGGTCAGGTGATAGGCACGAAACAAGGTCACCTCGTGTAGATCTGATACATATAAGTTAAAAATCATCGGTCCCAGGATGGACCCCTGTGGAACGCCATACTGAGATGACTGGTACGAGGGCTTCCTATCGTCGATCTGCACGAACTGGGAGCGGCCAGATAGATAGCTCAAGAGCCACTTGAGAAAGGGTTTTCAGAAACCGAGCTTGTAGAACTTCACGATGGTCGCGCTAAAGGATATGGTGTCAAAAGAAGGACTGAGCATGCGCTCGGAATTATAGATCACACCTACAAGAGCCCTACTATACTTATTGCGGCCAGGCACCTCTATCCATAGGTGTTCAAGTTCTGGGTGGGCATTTTCAATGTCACGACGGCGCTTATAATTGATATTTTCCTTAATATGAACACCGACGCCACCTCCCCTTTTACCTTCCCTGTTCCGGAATTCCATAACAAAGCCAGGGATAGAAACATAGTCCAATAACTGCAGTTAATCTCTAAGCCAGATTTCGCTCAATGCTACAATGTCCAGTGGATATGAATTAACAGTGAGTAAAAGCTAATTAAATGTCGAAACCATGGACTGAGTATTACGATGCATTATTTTTAACTGGCCTGAGTTAGAGCAGAGCGGATGAATATCAAGACCAGGATCAAGAGACCAATACTCCCGGACCAAGTCGGTAGGTAGTCCGAGCACGGGTAAAAAAGGTCACCGAGCCATTATTTTGGATTTCCAGTACAATGTAAAGAGGTATCCGAGCCGTGCCTCCATTTTTACCAAACATTTGTTACATTGCGCATGAGTTGAATAACGTACCTTTCTTGGTCCGAAGAAACAATAGCTTTTAACTTAGACAACGCGAAGACACCTAAAGAATAACGATCAGGGTACTCTGTCGTCCAAGTGCAACTTGAAAATAGAGTTAAGATTTTCTTCATTAGGGTGTGGTTGTTGTCGTTGTTGTTATAGGTGCTGTGCTGTTCATAAAGTTAGAAATGTCTGTATGAAGTAAAAACTTTCATTTTTATTCATTTCAGGAATAAACTACAATGTGGATTCAATAATAAACAAATGGAAGAAGATGAAGAAACAGTTCAAGAAAGAAGTGGATAAATCCACAAGAAGTGGGACTGGTCGAAGGGAAAAATGGCGATATTTCGACGATATGGAGGCCATCTGCGGGCATCGAGACAACATTACACCAACAGTTTTGCTGGAATCCTCAAAGGATAATGATCATTCTGATCATTCAGAGGGTGAATCTACTAATGATACTGAAGTTGCGAAATTGGTAAGAATGTCAGTATGTGGTTTGTTTTCCGTTATGGAAACATTGGACGGTCGGTCATGTATTTTTTTAATTCCCCCACCTTATTTTTAATTAGGATGTGCATACTACACTGACTCAGTTCCGGTACATATGAAGCATATGAAGCATGGTTCAGGCAATAAATTGAAGGACAGAGATCAAGTTTAGTTAGTACATGGAATCTACGTACGTTTGATGCGTTTATGTGAGTCATTTGTAACGGAAACGCTTTTTAATGGGCCAGTACAAACGTTAGGTCACAGGTACAGGTCATTGTTTTACCCATACTGAAATAAACTTTAAAAGGCCTCCTATAGTTAGGCCTTAACTCTCCACCTGATTACAATGATTTTTAAGACGGTGTTTAGGGTTAGGGTTGTTTCAGTATGGGTAAAACAATAATCTGTACCTGTGACCTGCTTTTTTTACCAATTATCTTTAAATAACCATAATGCTGTTGTTTGTTATTTTTGTAAGATCTGTGGAGCAATTCGACCTTTGAAAGTGGCATAGTTGATGAACAGCAGACTAGTGAAGGTCAAAGCACTAAGGTACAGGTGGACCTGAAAGACCTTGAGAAAGACCCAGGACAAGAAGGGAAAAAGGCCCTTAAAAGAGATGCAGAAACCTTGAGTACTTCAAGAAAGCCAAAGAAAACTAAGTTAGAAAAGTCCCTTAAACTGTTGTGTGACAGCTTTAAGGAAGCAACTGAAATGGAGATGAAACAGCAGCAGAAGATTGAAGAAGAGCGCCATAAGAGAGAAATGGAATTTCAGTGGAAGTAAAGGCAACTGGAAATGAAACGAAGACGAAAAGAAAGGCAGCACGAGTTGTCAGTTTTATAGTTACTCTCTTGGCAGGCTCCCATGGCGGCATTTCCTGTCAGTCAAAATTTTAGCTAGAGCTATCAAAATGATGGTTTTGGCTTCTCTACACCCAGTAACAGGTCTAGTGTTGACACTAGCAGTAGCAGCGGCAGCTTTGATGAACCCCAAGCTACTTACAGTTGTAAGCCCAAAGAACACTGTTGATATTTCGAAATAATGCTGGCTGTAGTCTTCTTGCTTATGCCACTGAAATAAAAGTAGTTGTTGTTCTTATGTCTATGAACTTTACTGAGCATGGTAAGCAATGCAGGTAAACTTTATTAATGAAAAAGCAACAGGATTGTCAAAAGTTAGTTTCAGAATCCAGTCTCAATTTACATTTGGCCAAGGTATAATAAACAATTTACACAACAAACACTCAAAGACTGGTGTTTAACACTCAAAGAGTGGTAACACTCAAAGAGTGTTCATACAAAAACAATCATTAGATGATATTAAATATTTTAACTTTCAATTGCTATCAGCTCCTGAACCGATTTGTCTTCCTTCCTCTGTCATAAAAAAGTTGGCCAATATGTTGCGGGTATCTGATGCATCAGCCCTCTCTCGGGCATTCATTCTGAATGGCACATTTCCATCTTCTGGCTGAGGGTAGGACCTGTCTTGAGCTTGTTCAAACCATTCGTTGAGCAGTGGATCTCTTCTCAGCTCAAATTTATTATGTAATATACATGAGGCGGCCACTAGATGAATAACATCCTCAACCTTCATGTCAATGCGCTTTGAAAATCTAGGAAAACGACCTTTCCAACGTCCGAATGTGTCTTCAACGGTCATTCTGGGACGACTGAGGCGGCAATTGAGACGTCGATGCTTTCTTGGGGTGTTCTGATTTTCCAGAAATGGCTTCAGCAACCAAGGTAACAAAGAATATGCTGGATCGCCAAGTATACATGGATAGATATCCTGGCCTAGTATGGTCTCTTTGAAATCAGGAAAGAGGGCACCATCATTCCCCAGTTTATATGTTTCGGAATTCGACAACACATGTGCGTCATGCACGCTTCCGGACCAGCCAACTACAATGTCCCTAAATTAATAATAATCATGGAAAAATTACTCAGTTCTGATTGGTTAAGATAAATGCAGTTTTCAGGTTATTCAGTGCAGAAGAGAGTTAATTCAGTGCAGAAGAGGGTTAATTCAGTGCAAAGAAAGAAACAAATCAGACATTCTGATTGGTCAATAATCAAAGAAACTCACAGATAGCCAATCAAATGCGAGCCTTGGATGGCGCAACAAAATTTGAAAATTTGAAAATTTGCGAGCGAAACAATGGCCGGCGTTTTAAGTAGGTTTTCTTTCGCCACCGCAGCTGAAAAACAGCTTAAACAACGAAAACACTATAAAAAGCACTGCTTTTTGGTTGTCAGTTTGGAAAAAGTGGTGTTTAGAGAAGGGAATTGCCAAGGAAGCCGACCCAGCTTAACACTTTGCTCGAGCGATCCAACGCCGAAATTAAAAACAGTCATAGTTAAACCTCGGGAACGACGATTCCATTTCATCGAAAGTGCTTCGGACACAGACTGAACTATTCCTTAGACTGTTTAGTCGGACTTTGAACTTTCTTGCACCTTAAAGATGTGAAGATATCGTTGCCTATTATTGTTTTGATCCTATGCGGTTGTTTGACCGAACGCACCGTTTGAATAAATTATTTTTTGCACTTGATGCGCGCGCTTTGCTTATATTTAATTATGATAAGCCATCTCGTATTTTTTCATGTATATTATTAACACGTAATCACATGATTTTTCTCGTGCAATTTGGAATAAACAAGCACTTGTTAATTTTTTCAAAGACCACAAATTGCACTCGCCCTACGGGCTCGTGCAATTTTGTTAGTCTTTAAAAAAATTTACTCGTGCTTATTTATTCCAAATTGCACTCGAAATCATGTGATTACCTATACAAATACCGTGAGTCCACTAAAGCCTGCATGATAATACTGTGATAAGACTTTCGATTTACGTAGTCCGTGTGGTTTTGTGAGGGGACCTTTATCGGGACATGAGTTCCATCTATGGCTCCCGCACACATGGGGAAGCCCCATTTTTCTTTATAAGTTGCCATCACTTGTTTCAAGTCGTCTCCTTTCGGTATGGTGATATATCTTGATTTTAACCTTTTAACGATGGCCTGGCAGACCTCTTTTACGCAAAGGCTAACAAAGGATCGTGATACTCCAAACAAATTAGCCACGGAACGGTATTCTGCGGTGGATGCCATGAAATAAATTGTCAAAGCCACTCGCTGAAATGTGGGAATCGCTTTCTGTAATTTCGAATCTGTGCGAGTAATATCATCTTCCAATTCATTTACAATGTAAAGAACGGTTCCTTTAGACAAGTGGAAGTATTCATGCCACTGCTTTTCTGAGAACTCATTTTAAGCCATTGCGATCCAGGCATCAGTTCTGAGTCCGACCCAAAGAGTCCGATCTCTCGGAGGATTCACAACGATAGCCAATGCTATCATCAACATCATCAATTTCTTGCGTTTTCCTTTTGGTATCTGACGTTTCTTTATTAAGCTCTCGAATTCGCCCTGTTCACCACGGCGCAATCTCGAAAGGACAAGCATGGCACTGACAGTCGCCATGTTAGAAATTGTTCATTCTGAAATCTTTTTGTCGCTGACCAAGACCCACAAGGGCTCAACAAATGGGACTAAAGTTGCCCGTGCCAGTTATTTGATAAACAGAAAAGAGCACGGATAAAAAGTTAAATGTAAACGCCTTTGGCCCGTGCTACTTTTTAGTCGAGCCGTGCTACTTCGTTTGCCGAGCCGTGCTGAATTTCTTTAGTGTAAATGGAGCTTTAGTGTCCCGAGGGAAAGAGCTAGTTTTGCTTCCTGATAGTCCTGATGTTTCCCGAGACTTCGTCTCGGGAAATATCAGAATACGAGGGAAAACAAAACTAACTAGTTTCCCGAGGGACCATATATTGGGTGCTTGGTTACATATTTAGACTTTCCCTCAAACAATCATATGGCAAAAACATGCTGTTGTATTCGGCGCGCGGGCAACAACTGCACAATTGTATACCGGTTGGGATACATTTGAATTTGATCAGGGATTGATCATTCCTCGACCAAGAATCAACCAATCACAGTGCTCGTTTTGCTAAGTGAAAGTTTTGGTATATAACAATTGTATTTGTTTGAGCAACCTAGCAACCATCCGAAATACGTGACACCAAAGAATTATATTGCGAAAGAGCACTTTGCAAATGAAGATACCTCTCCAATGATATCATCTTTCTCTTGTGGACAAGAATTGAAGCAGACATCCCTGTGCATCGACAATTTTTGAACCGTTAGAGGGCAGGCACCCCTCTGACAAACAGTTCAATAGAATCCATACTCTTTTTTGATATACACACCCATGAAATGGAATCTGAGCATAACTGTTCTTTAATAGGCACTTTTAATTTTTTCTTTTTAATGGATAAAGGCAATCCAGAGTTCTAATCAAGTAATTGCAAATCCCTTCTAGATTTACGCATCAAAATGACCCTTCTCATTTATTTTTTTTACAACACCAGTTCTTTAAGTAGATGAGAGTCATATACAGTGCAGAGTTTTGTATCTTCTAAATACCACTAGTAAGGATTACCATTTGCTACTGTATCCGGAATGTTCAATATCCTCTAACTACAGAACGCCAAAAACAGTGATGCGGTGACATGGTTACGGGCTCTCGTGTTTGTTATCCCTTTGAGAAGATATAACAAATCGAAATCATACACGAGATGAAATTACAAAACAAATTAGGATTCTGAATAATTGTTCTACCAAGCAGTAGTTCCCATAGACGTCGTTGCTCTACATTCCTTTACTTTTCCCTCATTCGAGCCAGTCACAACCAAATTACTCAGTGAAATTGATCTTCGGAGATCATTAAAGGATTGAATCGCCTGGATTTACTTTCTTGATCTTAATGCGAAAAATCTGATCAGCCAGTAACTGGAAAGAAATGTGATCGGGCAACGCTACTCCACACCAAGCCTCGTACTTGTATTGTAGATAGAAACAGAGGACACAGTGCTATCAGGTAAAACTACGATTTACTACGAGCCAAAATTCAAGTTAGGAAAAGTAACGATGGGATGAAAACGGTTCCGTAACATAAGATTTACTATGACAAGTCACTATCCATTGTTTTTCGTACAATTATTAACAAGTCGCTGGCACATTTTGTGAGCCATGGGTGAACCGCATCCTTCACCTAACAAAACAAAAGCAGTCATAAAAACAAAAATATTGTGTGATATTCCCGAATTGACAAATTTTACGTCCAATATGATTTAAAGTCTTATTTGAAATGTAATACAAAATAACAGAGTTTTTTGCTGTTGTTAAAGAAGAAGGAATATATTTAAGACGCACCAGAGAACACTTAACACAGAAGCCTCCATTTGACGCGAAAAGACGCCCGTATTTTTTCCCTTGGACATTATCAGTTCCGGGAAGTGAACAGCTTCCGGAAAGCAAAGCTCTAGGAAAACTATTCAGCTCTCGAAACAAACAATGTCTAAGGACAAATATGCGACCTCATATTGCGTGCCAATAATTGTATATAAGATGTGTACAGGGCACGGAATGAGTCTTATTTTGATGTGCATTCCAAGTAATTTTTGTATAAATTTACAGAAGTAAAGACAGATCTGCTTTATACAATTACTCTAGTCCTGAGAGTGGAAAGGTAGTTTAGTTGAAATACTAAAAAATTTAAATTCAAATATGTATCACGATTGGCGTAGATTGGTTAATGATTTTAAAATCTTTCGGGACTGTTTAACTCTCAGACAGTCTGGCTAGGTCTGGCCCTGGTGTGTTCTCAAGGGAATGACATGAAGGAGACATCACTACGGAAACACAATTAAACGCGGAAGTTCCATTCTGGCGAGATGCACACCTCACTCAACGTTTAAATTAAGCATTCAGTTGTAATTCCCTTCACCCTACTATTTTGATCACTTCTTAAGGTTACCTGGATTATCTCCTCTAACATATTCACCAAAGGTTCGTTGACAGCGTTAATTACAGACAGGCAGCACTCACTCCTCAGACCATTGTTCACAGCAAACCAAAGCACTTCAGCCATGCACATCATACGAAATCGTACTATAGAAGGTTTGGGATTAGAGAGCGAGCCACATTCCTTTATACCTAGGAGTAAAATAATTGATACTTGATGAAACAGAAGTTCGTCATAGGATAGGCATGCTATAGAAACAATTAAAGTCCCTACCAAAACAAAGTTTGAATTCACCACTTACGGCATCGTCCAAATCCAAACAATGATCCAAACAATAACATTACCAAACAAACAATCCAAACAATAAATTACCGTTTAAACTTTGGACGCCGCCATGTTGAAAAAATAATTTAGTAGCCTGACTACACAAGCACAACCCACATAGCGTGATTCGCTAACAACTAGAGCTCATCCTTTTTTTGTTTTGAAAGCAATGGTGCCTTTTAGAGTAGCTCCTATTATTTAGAACAGATCGCTAAGATAAGAACTGAAGAGAAGCGAGACTGGCCACAAGTAAATGGCTCGCTACGAAGCATATGGGCGCCCTCTGTTTCCGGGTTTTAGCACATTTGAGGAAAATTTTCGGAAAGTCAGGTTTTTTCTTAGGATCTCTTTACGTAGTCAGTGTTACAATTTCATATAAACGTCTGGGTTCCCGGGTATTAATTAAATAGTTCCTGAAGCATACTCAGTCTCGTTTGACCAATGAAGTAATGTGGTTCAACATCGGTCTTATTTCGTCGAATCCGCTACTAACTTCGTTTTAGAAATTTGAAAGTGGTAAAAAAAAACAGAGAAAGATGTTTTCCGCCTTATCGCCACTGAAAGACAAAGAATAAAAATCCCCACCTTTCTCTATATTTAATTATCTCAAAAAAACCCCTATGAAGAAAACCATTTTCAACCGTGGTTAACGAAATCGCCTGAAAACATATTTAAGCTTTGGTGTGAATGGGTTATTAGACTTTTTTGTAGTTTAGAAGTCGAGCATCGGAGGAATCTGGAGGTCTGAGGTTCGTTTCCTCGTGCGACCAAGACTTTTTTTCCTAGCACTAGCATCAAGCTTGCGACAGGACATAAAAAGGTCTTTCAAAGCCATATGCAGTTTACATCGACGTGAAGAGAGAAAGAAAGGAAGTGTAGGATTTACCAAAAGTCTAATATACTCTATTAAAGGTAGATAATACAAGAGATAATCTCCGAAGCATTCAATGAGGCAAACAAGTAGCGAGGAATAACATATCATATCGCGACGAGCCTGCCAATTAGCCACAAAGAACCTATTGACGTACAATAACATCTGAATTTCTTCTTGAGGTTATTTCTTTCTTAGCCATTATACATGTACAACAATATTGTTTCCTGTTTAAAATCAAGTCATCAGGATCGAGCGACATGCTAGAGGACCAAGATTGGATAGACTTAAATGGGAGGAATTTTGATAAAATATGGAGACATGTCTAAAGACGTACGAAAGAAACGATGAAATTTAGAAAAACAATAAAATTTTGCTTAACCTTTGTGAAAATTACAAACACCGCAAAAGTGCACAGTTTTGCAACGCCACAAGCGAGAAGAAACTGAGAATTACAGGATACTTTCCGGTAGGAACCTGATTCCATAAGGGAAAATGACGAGAGTGTGAAAAGACCAAACACTAGGATAGTTACAAACCTTTGGAAGTCAGTCAATCAAAGTCGACGAGGAAATTCAAAGACGGTCCAAGAAGGAGGCCGGCAACAAAAAATACAACGGAAATCATTTCATGATTACACAAAACATTCGAAGAGGCAACGAGGTTGAAAGAGGTCTCATCGAAATTCAATGAAAACTACCGTCTTTGACCTGAGTGTATAAGTGGGAAGTAGGAGTATTGACAAACCTGAATCTTTCAGTTCCTGAAGGTCTTTGGTGAGTTGGTTACACCCCGCAATAAACCAGTTGTGGAAATATTCATTTGAATCGATCTCTCTTGTTCCAAGCAACTTATTGATTACACGCTGAAAAAAAATTACCAGGAAATGATTTGCAAAGACCTTGTTATTCGCGGTTGGAAACTACTTCGTTTCAGCGCTGACATTCCCTAAATCCGGAATAATATACACTCGTTAACATATGGTCGAAGGAAGATTTTTGTACGAAGTTATTTGTGGGTCAATACTCGAATAGATCAAATACCAATCACAAATTGTATATTATTTAGTTAGCTGATTACTTTGAAGCTGTGAACAAGAAATGCACCTAACTAAAAGAGTTGAAGGAGGTTTAAACTACGAAAGAATATCTGTATGTACTCTCAAACGGCTTGCGATCGCAGTAATACGCAGAATTGTAATGGATAAAAAGTGTAAGGTTTATAAAAATATAAAAAAATTAGAGGGCATTTATTTGGAAGATGACTGCGTTTACATATTTTCTTTACCTTGAAGTATTTGACCACCATTGTTGCCAAAATCACTGGCTCTGCGTATAAATTAGCGTCCTCCTGCTCAAACAGCATTAGTCTACAGATAGCGATCAAAAGCAGGTTATTTACAGATATACCTAGTACATTGAAATTACAATTTCTAGGAATTCTCTAGAGAGCATCACAGTTTTTCCTTAAACTGATGAAAGATTCGCATAAGTAGTCACACTTATTCCATAAATCCCTTCATAGGCTAGTGCACGTCGATCTATGCTTGATTCATACTAAAAGGGAATCCAGCTGAAGTTACCGAAACTTTTTAGCTCCTGTAGTACTTTCTGCTTTAAGACAGGACACAAGCCGCTAATGTAGCCGCCTCCC